GAAGCTTTCCCATCATTTGGCCCCGTCTAGATGGGGCCAAATGGTGGAAAAGCCTCCTCTGGAAAAGCAATTGGAAAAAGCTATGCAAATGGTGGAGCACGATTTGTGTAGCTTTTTCTGAAAAAAGGCTATAGCATAGGCCTAGCCACAGTTCCAGTGGGTGGAGGTAGGAAGAAATCAGAGCTTAAATGACCACTTCCTCCACTTCTGTGAGTAATAGAGCTTTCTGTCTCAAATAAATATTTCCCATCTCCAGCAGATGGAAGCAGCCCTCTTGCTAGCTACTAGATTTACTAGCTGCTAGGCTTCAGAGCTGTGCTTAGATTAGCCACCAGGATTTTTTTGGTTTCTTTAAATAGGTAATCAGAAAGCTAGTGTCCAAAAATATGCTAAGCACCTCACAAACCTGTAATAGATAAGTTCCAGCCCTGGAAAACTGATCATCTATTGTTTTACCTATTTAGATTATGGCACATGCCCCCGCCTTCCCCCAAGCAAGGTGTTAGAATATTCAGCATGTTTTGTTACCATCACCTTTTAACAAATTCCGGCCCTCTCCTTACTGTGAATCTAATAATCTCCACTCTAATGAAAATAGGGTTGCCAGATGGTTTAACAAAAAATAACGAACACCCTGCCCCCCTCCCCCTAAAAAAAACCACTGGGGGGGAAAAAGTCTGTTGGGGTGGGGAAGGAGGGGAGAGACCAAAGTTCTTTAGTAAAAGTTGCACCACTCCCTCCAGTTTGGGGCCATACACTAACCCCCAGTGCACCCACCCCTCCCCGAGCCAGGTCCTCCAGTCCTCTCATCCCAATGCACTCACCCCTCCTCCAGAGCCAGGCCTCCCTACAGTGTCCCCCATCCCAGTGCACTCCCCCCTCCCCCTGAGTCAGGCATCTCTAGCACCGGGAGCACCCCGCCACTCCCGGGCAGAGCCAGGCACCAGAAGAATGGGACGGACGAGTAAGTTAATCTTATTTTTTAAGTCGCTGCTCCTGCCGCCTGGCCCGGTTGCCTCAGCTCACATTGTATAGAAGGAGGCATCACGTGGCCAGCTCCTGGGTCTCTGCTGGTCACGTGGGCCAGAGCAGCGTACACTCCACTCCCACCCCAGCTCAGCACCCCCTAGCGTGGTGCCCGGCAAGTGCCCCCTTCTGCCCCCCTTCACTACGACTCTGCCGTGCTCCTCACTCCCCTGCCCTCACCAGATGTGGCAGGGGAAAATGGTCCCCACTGGGCTTCCATCTGAGGGAAACAGGAAATATCAGACATTTCACATGTCCGGTATTTTCTGGGTTTTTTTACCAGATGGAGCCTGCAAATACCAGACATCTGGCAACCCTAAATGAAAACCTTTCAAACTGTCCTTAACTTTTTATATAAGCTTCTCTGTCAAGAATCTGAAAGTGGCCTTACCCATTATATTGGGTAAGAAGACCATTATATTGTCTCGCCAGTATGGAGCGTGTTCCCAGTGGAGGCCATGTTCAAAAGTTCCCACCCACAGGCTGTTGAGTAGCCAAACTGCACCCCGGGCTGCAAACCAACAGGCCAGGGATGTGTATTTTAGAGTTTCTGGGCTGGCATAGGAAGCGAATGAAATTTATTTCCTTTCTTGTAAGGAGTTGAAGGTAACCTGTACTAATCCTGAAACCTCTCCCTTGTTTTGCAAAAATAATCCTTGTATTAAAACTTTTCAATGCTGTTATGAAGTTGATTTTTGTAATAAGTTATTTTCTGAAATTGTTTGCTAGTGTATACAACTGAACTGTAAAGACCCTTAAGGTAGGGGTGCTTATTTCAGTAGAAAATATACATTCTATTACTAAGGCAGTGCATACTAAAATGGTTCCAAGCAGGCTGTATTTAAATCCAC